ATTGCTCAATACTGCTACTATTACTGCTCTGTGGTGACACGACTATCATTGTTATTCTCCTGTCACCATCATCACTCAGTTCCATCGGCCATATTCTGATATAGGGCGTGTATCTAAGTACCCGAGCCCGCGAAATCGCTCTTTGGCGAGGTTACGTATTTACCGTCCGCTCTTTTCTGTGGCTTCTACTACCTCAGTGATCGTCGCTTATCCTTCTCGTCTCGCTGTCCTTACGTCCTACTACCTAGTGTCTATTATACCAAATAGTTAGTCAGCTGCCCATTACCACTACTCCTATTACTAGCATCACCTTATAATAAAAATTATCGGAGGTTCTTACACATGTTGCTCTGACAATTCCATACCTATTCCTACTGCTGATGGCTTAACCCGTTCCACTTCCTGATGGAGGTGTTGCTCGTAGTCGTCTTCGCAGTAGTGCTTGCATGTCTGAGTGATATTGTCCCTATATGATACCTCCGTGTCTTCTTATCTCTTTGCGGTTTCGCATGATGCATAAGGATCGACACTGATGACCAGTTTTCAACTACCGCTCTCAAGGGGATTCCGCTACTGGTTTTTCCTTGAGTGACGGCGTCTCTGTCTTCAGCAGCATCACCACTAAGTGTATTATATCAATCTATGAAAGCTAGTCGTTGTCAATTAATGGGCTCGGGCAAGGCGAAGTGAACCGGAGTAGTTCTCGTTCTTGTGGTAATGTGTTATGCAAAGGCTCAGACGATATGTTAGACTGCATTCCTACTGTACAAATTCCGATATGTGTTATTGAGGAAAGCTTATCGGCTTACTATGGGGCACTTGACTCTCCGGATCCAAGTTCGATAATATAGGCGTTTTCGAGTATGTGTAGACGTCAACACGTTGTTGTGAAGCATCACCTGCAGCGTGGTATATGTTGATAATCGTTGGAATATTCCATGGCTCGACAGATGTGCGAATAGTCGTTGAAGTAATATCGTCACTATTGACCCTACAAGAACCCCGCCATTCACCGAACGCAAAACAACATTGTTTTATTTCTGCTTTTGCCGCTTCGCGTCATCATCGTCTTGTCTTTCACAACTGTCACTACTCTTGCTCCACCAACTCGGCATTTTACACATCTCGCAAACCTACACACAGAATAACACCAGTAATCTGACTACACCTGCAAGACGTACTTTCTGTGTTCGGGCGTTCTTATGGATGTAATCGCTGAGCTCCTCGAATGTGACAGAGTCCGCAATAGATTTCTTAACGCGACCAACGACCCTCTCGTCATTAGGAGATGTCCTGTCCGTTCGTATCTGTTAAACATAGGTAAGGAGTTGTTAGCCGATAACCCTACCCGTTGGAACTGCCATCCGCCTGGTACCCAGTCGCCAGTTTCAACGTAGTGCATAGCGTCAGAGGGAACCTGAGCAGATACTGTTGTAATTCGTGGAGTGGAGCTCTTGAAGCTCACAAATGTGTAAGTGTTAGGATCCCAATTGCACTCGATTATCGCGCCGTTCACTTGCCGTGTGTTTTCGGTCAGCCATTGCCAGTGAGGACCACTGCGGGACAACCAGATCCCTTGGAAAACTTGAACCTGTTCACCACCGTGCATGGAGATTTCATCGGAAGCTCGGCATACCCCTTCACTCGCTGCTAAGAGCTTTACATGAAACTCTTGCATTGAATCGCCCATCACAAGTTCGACAGCGAAATCTGCGGTGTTCATATGAGCTGGTTTCCACTTTAAAAGTTGCCGACACGTCCCTGAATACGATCGATAACTGGATAGCGTCCGAAGAGCTGCTTACCAGCGATATAGGGCGGCATCACTGGAGTGAATATCAGCCCATCGCACTCATGAGGCAATCGCTTGCCGAGTCATCACAGTATCGCAGTCGGTTACCTGTTCATGTGTAGGATACGAG